AGTGTGGCTTTGTTTCTTTTCTATTTTGGTTTCGGTCAGGTTACGATTTAAGCTCCCTTTGTTCTTTGTTATAAGCATGCTTCACTTATTGAATCGTGGCTATGTTTCTTTCCTATTTTGGTTTCGGTTAGGTTATGCTTTAAGCGCGCTTCACTTAAAAACGTGCGGCTTCGTTTCTTTTCTATTTGGCTTCGGTTAGGTTATGCTCTGCTAACATGGCACGATTGTTTAACGCATCTATCCTCTTGATTTTTATGCTCAAGATTTGCTCTACTTGAGATTGCAATTGAACACTATGAGCTTGATGCCATTACTAACGAGAGATTTCAAGACTTGTAGCTTATGAATTATGTCGTAGATTAGTCAAGATAAATAAGTCAAAAAATTACAACTTGATTGACAGGTACAAATGAAATTGTCTTAAGTTTTTTTTAATTAAATTCTAGTATATTTATGCGATCTAATTATTTTAAATTATTTGACAGGTTAATTTATCTTATTTTGACTCTCCCCTATCTACGTCAACTACAGAGCGAACGTTTTCCGCTATGAAACTTCTTAAGACAGTTCATCGTAATAAGATGGAAGGGGAATTTCTGATGGATTTAGTGGTTATCTACATTGAAGGGAATTGGTCGAAAAGATTAGTAGTGATACTATAATCACTAAGTTTGAATCTAAAAAGAATCGGAGATCGCAATTTCATTAGCCCCAACACATGTGGTAAGGAACAAGTTCAACGAAGGATTTATCATTGCCATAACACGTCTCCTCTTCTTCTCAACCAGCTCACATCTTCACCAACCCTCTTGGAGGAACTACTTTCTATTTTGGGAATGATGGACATCTCCCACATTCCCACTTGAGGGACAGTGTTAGCATGTTAATATATAGTTACCATGTTAATGCATTAACATGCATGTTGATTGTAGTAGTGTTGCCTTTTTTATGTTCCCTCATTCTTTGTTAAAAGCACGCTTCACTTATTGAAGTGTGGCTTTGTTTCTTTTCTATTTTGGTTTCGGTCAGGTTACGATTTAAGCTCCCTTTGTTCTTTGTTATAAGCATGCTTCACTTATTGAATCGTGGCTATGTTTCTTTTCTATTTTGGTTTCGGTTAGATTATGCTTTAAGCGCGCTTCACTTAAAAACGTGCGGCTTCGTTTCTTTTCTATTTGGTTTCGGTTAGGTTATGCTTTGCTAACATGGCACGATTCGAAGGGTTGCTTAGTTTTTTAGCTGGAGTATAAAAAGCACGGTTTGACTGATCGCTTGTAAAAGAAGCTCGTCTTCTTGATTGTACTTGGAATTTTTCATTTGATGGAATGAAACACAAAAATTCCCAATTTTGGGAGACTTTGGAATGAGAATTGTAGCTTTAGTATATATTTTGGGAGACATTTTGCAAACTTGTAAACTTCAGGAGGCAAAGTGATAAAAGAACACATAATTTCACTTCCGTATATCTCAATTTTGTCATTTTTGCTGCGGCCAATACATCATTGCCCACAAAGTCTCATTCTACCACACATTCCCAATCACCTTAGCCTAAAATGGATTAGAGAAAAAAGAGAAGAAAAAGAAAAAGAAAAGCCTCAAACGAGCTAAATCTAACCAGCCAGTCACACTCTGTTAAGGGGGGAAAAAAGGCTTCGTCTATGTTATCGGCTACTAAGAAGAATCCATGGCAATTGCTTCCTGCAGAGGCCTCAACTTGAGAGGAGACAAGCTCGACTTAACCCGCACATCACATGAGGAAGACCACAGCAGCTTTTTCCCAATGGCCACACGGCTTTTACCTATTCCCAGCACCTTCCTCACCTCATTCGCAAGCTCGATAACATAGTCATCTTCGTGACCTATCCAATACATAAACGGACGGCTTAATCAAAATATTTCTGAGCTGCCCATAACACAAAACACCTAAAGTCAGACACAAGATACTTACCGATATCAAACAGGGCCTTCTCCAGCAAAAACAGGTAGTCCCTGTTATTGCCACAAGGACCAAAAGCCGTTGCAATTTGCGTGGCCATCTCCTCCAAAGGAGCCGGCCCCAAATAATACTTATTCGAAATCTTGTCGGGAGTTGACGTGAATACAATCACGCCAGTTACGAAGGGATGTTCGGAATTGCCCTCCTGGCAAAATAATGGAAAAGCAAAACATTAGTAACAAGCTAGAGCACAAAAGCTCGTTAAAAATCTCATCAGTTTCATTAAAAGGTGATCAAGAACCTCACTTTGTAAAAGTCTACCAGAGTTTTATGGTCATATTCACACTCTCGTCTCTCGAGATACGCCATTGCCGCCTTCTCTTTCTCCGGCCCTCCACGTACGCAATAAGCAGCGCCCCACTGAAAAAACAAAAAAGATAATATGATAAGAGTAGAGATTTACTACTTCCACACATGGTTTCATGGAAAATTCGACTTAATCCAAACACCCAAAACAGAACAGTCAATCCACAATTTATCATTGATCTTCTCAGTAAATTTAAATAAGTTACAATTTCTTGGGTACTTTCGAGTATAGATACTTCATCCAGATAATTCCCCCAAAACTTTTAGATCGAAATTTTTTCAACTTACGCAGACAGATCCTTCATATTCTTCCAAGGTGCAGGTCCTAGCCGGGAGCTCAGGCGTGCCTCTGTGGTCGATGCACGCTGAAAACACAATCAAATCACACACATATAAGCAAAACGATGTCGATTGCCCTAATTCTCATCAAAATCCACAAATCATACAGCTTCATAGATCTGAGACAAAATCCCAGATTGTGCAACAAATAAAACCCCATACCCAAATCAAAGACACGCCTGTAGCCCTTAATAAACCCTATCACTTTCTCGTCGACCTCAAAACCGGGGTTCCACACCAATGAACCATAGCCAAAAACCCAGAAAACCATCTTCAATCTGGAAAAAAAA